TAATTAGGTTTCAGATAACGTGAAAAGTGAAGAATGTCGATGAAGCCAACACCCTAGACCATAAAGAGTGTCTGGTACCTCTGAACAATCAAATGGGCTAATCCAAGCTTGATACTCTAAATCGATTGAGCCATTCGCACAAGATGATGATCGTCGACTGTGTAGCCCAGGGGTAAGGGTTCGAAGTCCCGACCCGATGAAGTTTGTTTCATGTACAAAACTTTTGACATAATTCACTCGCAACCTGTTGCTTATTGGTTAGGAGTCGAGCCAGGTAAGGTACAGAGAAATTCTTATAAATTTTAATGCAAGAGGGTAGATGCGGAAAAGATTAGCAAGTGGACGGATGGGAACGACAAGATGATATATTCGGAGACACTGGATTTAGAGGGTCGTCTAGAATCTTATTGGCAAATTTACCATAAGAGTTGATGTAAGCAATAATTAATTCTGTATTTAATGAATCCATTGAGTTTAATGATGCATGACTGACTATCGCCAAACCACGACGAATGGTTTCGAAGTATTGTTTTAAAGGGCCGGGAAACACTGCAATTGAACAACAGAGTAGAAAGGGGGAAACGCATTGGTGAAAGAAAGAGGACAGGACTGACTGCGAGATTCCGAATTGTCTGAGTTTGCGTAACAGAAAACCGACTCCTCAGTTTCCTCAGACAACCGTAAATGTATGTGGACCACCGGAGGTACTTGACTGAAATCATTCGGGACACATTTAATACAAGTTTCATGTGTTGTTTTGTTTGATAAATGCTAAAGTGAGGAAGACTGTATAAAACATGGATAGCATGAGGCACTGTCGCTATCTGTTGCCTTCTTAGGCTTTTGACATCTCGGTTATTTTAGGGGTAACACGGATTACATTTTGATTTTATTGACGAGAAATTTGCCCGCAGGTCAGAAATAATTTCTACGTAAAAGCCGCCATATACGTAACGACAGTGAACTTCATGTAATCTGACTGACAAGCAATAAAGTACTCTATTAATGACCACGTTACCTGGAGCTCGTTCTATTTCTTGTGCTCCCAACTGTGCATCGGCAGTTACGATGAGTAGGGACGATTTGTGGTAGAGAATGATTCAGTGATGGGACAACAAAAAAAGATTGAATAAACAAGAATGCTATTTAGAGTTGAGGTGATGGATATTTGGATTTTGTTGAGAAACGTGAGCGACAGATGACGCTAGCACGGAGTGCGAGAATAACAGCCCCTAGCGGTTTCCCCCGAACGGCTTAGGTGAGTTTCACTATTCCGGCTCTCTTGATCTGTCAAAAGCACACACTGATAGCTCTCAGTTGAGCGAGAGTAACAGGGACAGATTAAGTGCGTGGATCGTGTATGTGCGTCACCGTCGGAAATATGGAAAAACACCGAAGAATGATCGAAAAGCCTGCTCACTTGAATCCGAAACTGGCCAGGAACACTAAATTCACGATCACTGAACACAAAGAAAGAACAACAGATGTAGATTAAACATAACTGGCGGAATAATGACCACAGTTGGAATGGAACAGACACGTTTGATACATGCAACTAGCCAAGCATGAACTGTTTTCTGGAAATTAAACGCTTATCGGATATGTATAACAAAAGATATCTTTTTACTCCCCACCTGTCGGTTTCCTCTTCAAGCCTGGGAATGACTCGCGGGTGGTTTTGAGCTACTTAATTAATAATAATAATAATAATAATAATCATTAATGACGTATTTTAATGACCAATAGCCCGATAGAACTTACTCAGGCCATACAGAGCGAAGTGAGCTGTTTGAACTCTGTCTGAAAATATTTTGGTCGAATATTCTAATAACCTCGCACGCAAGTGATACATGTTGCAGAAAACTGACAAATAAAGCAGATGATCTGATGGTGGTGATAACGAGGGAAGGGGGTGGGCGGTGAGAACAATTATTTTACTTACGCAAAGCACTTTTTTGCACATTTGTTAAATGGCGATAACGTAGACTTAAAAAATACAAACTACAACGTGCTTTCAATTCATAACTGAAGTATCTCACGCTACAACATAGTCGATTCACGATGAGATCACAATGTAGGACCGGATATGTCTTATATCTAGTCACCCGTTCCATTTTTAGGAGCGTTAAATTCACCTACTCTTTATGTCAATCAACAGGCTGGTGATCGATGCGTCAACAAAATATGTCAGGTGAATATGGTTTTCTAGAAATTAAGTTGCAATGTTTCGATATTTTCATTGTATGCCCATGCATTTTATTCGAGTACCAAGAGATGCAAATGAGATAATTTCGCGTTTAAATGAATGTATCCTGGAGGTGTTCAGTACAATACAATCGTTATAAAGGGGTTGTCAATGGGTTGAATATAAGGAAAGTCAAATCCGAGACAATGCACACTCTTCAAAGTTGTGTACTCTCGAAACTAAGTCATCAATTTCATTTGAGATGACGAAGCGATAAAAATAAATCCAACCTGGATAGGTTGAACGGTAGCTTTACATGAGAAGAATAAATAAATCATTCACTGTAAACTACTTTGAAGCAATGTTGGTGCCTAATCATTTAGTGGACTGGAACTGCAGACTCTATTAGATGACGGTCCTACCCCTGACGAATGCATCCGCATGCGTCGTGTTGCTAATGGCGTGTTTCATCACAAACACATAAGTAGCAGCAGAATTCGGTCACGATAATACTACTACATGTGATGGGCCCACGAGCAATTTCGGATGTTTTATAGCTTCAAACTCAAACAGAAACTTGATTTTCACTCCACTCCCAATCTGATTACCATGCCATGTATAGGGAAATAAAGCTTGTTAGCGATCGATCAAAATGGGACTAAATCTCTTTGCTGAGGTCTTGGTTGCGGTAAAGCGATGAGTTGTGAAACAAAAGGACTTAAACGACCGCTTCTCCGGAACCGTACCGATTTATTTCAACCCTTTTTGATATTATTATCCGTTCGGTTTTAAACAAAATCTTCTATACCATTTCAAAACAACAGTTTTGAACAAAAGGTCAAATTTATATGCTGATATGTCTTCCCCAGAATGTTGTGCACAGTGTTCAGTAATTTTATGCAATGTTGTTGATGACAGAATGCGAAGTTCAGGCAACCGTCTGTATTCCTGATTGACTTAATCGATGGGTCATTGCAATCCGAATAACACCGGTTTAGTTATGAACACTTATTTTGAGGGCGCTGAGTGAATGTCATTTGGGGGGCAGCTTTAATTTGTGAAGCTTTCCGTTGAACACTTCTCTCGATTGTTTATTTTTCAAATGCTGCGCTATGGAGGCCGAAAACCGAAAATAAATAGGAAGAATCCTCATAAGTTCCGTTATCGGCGAGGAGTTTGCAAAGGAAACCACGAGGTGAACAACTGAATCCCGAACGCGATTGGCTCATCGCACTGTTTAGTACATGATGAGTTCACGGATGGGGAATGTGTTTAAAATGCAACAGTTTCAAGTAAGTCGTAAGCGTTTGATCTTTTTGGATTGTAGGTTGAGTGACGTAAATCGGTAAAATTCATAGTCAATTGCAACGTGCAAATAAAATGAAAGATGTGGGCCAAATCGGTCACCAAGTGCTAACCGAGATCTGAGGATTGATTTGTCTTTGGGGAGCGTCACAGGTAACAGTCAATATAGGAGGTTTGATGAACACTCATACCAGACTAAAATAAAGCTGGGGAATAAATTATGAAACAATACTTTGTACTGATAGTTTTATATATATCTTAAATTCCAAGAGTTCAAATTTTGTGCTATTATCTCATATGTTTCATTGCTAAACTATTGTTTTTACTCTAGAAATTAGGAGTTTCTAAAATCACATGTGATCGTTTTCCGGTTCGACGATAGCGTATTTTGGTACTAGCGGGGAGCTAAAATAAAAACGCTTCATTGAAAGGGGAAGTTCTAGAGTGGTGTAAGTTAAGATCACTGGAACCCTCCAAAAAAAAACTCGAAATCCTACTCTCTTTAGAGATATCTGCAGGTTGGTAAAGACAACGGACTCCTGTCCAAATCAGAGTATCCTGCTGTGGATCCTGAATGAAACGTTCTATCGTTGTAACCCATTATCTGTGGATGCTTACTTAATCAGTAGACAGTATTAAAAACCAGGCCAATAAAAGTCGGATGGAAGATTGCATACTATGCTGTAAGATGTCCTTTAAAGGCAAAATCAAGATGGTCGTTTGTAAGGTTAGGAGGACATTTCTACCAATCGGTTTCACCAAGAGACGTAATGATATGCTTGATTTGCTTATCTTTAAGAAAGGCTGTTCAGCACGGCTGCTTAAAACTAAAGTGTCCGTGAGGGAGTGACAAGTAGAAACAAATA